TGTCTCGGAGCTCTAGGGACAATTCCTTCGACCTCATGGCTTGGTTTTTGCTCTGACATGCACATGAGCTCAATTTCGAGTCTCATAGCAAAGGGTCTGAATACTTCTGTAAATAAGGTATTTCAGTTTTTTTATCAATTTGCAAAAATGTCTAAAAGCCTGATTTCGCTTTGTCATTATGGGGTATTGTGTGTAAATTGATGAGGAAAATGTTTTATTTAATCCATTTTAGAATAAGGCTGTAACGTAACAAAAATTGGAAAAAGTATGAATACTTTTCGAATGCACTGTATTATCATAACCCAAGAATTAAAGGAATTAGTCAGTTATGTATCTAATTATTGTCATTTAAGTTTTGAATATAACAATCGAAATGTCTGTCAATCTTTGCATGCATAGCTATGAATTTCACAGTGGAAAATGTCTGAATTCATAGACAGTGAATTTGAATTCACTGTCTATGAACTTCCAACTTCATAAAATTACAAGGTGCCTAGTATTACAGAGAAACAACAAAACATTTTAGTTTCATTTATTCATCAAGAAGGAATCAATAGGCTACATAGCTGGATCAAATTAATTTACAAACATACCTCCTGCCCACCACCGGCAACTAAAATAAAATCAAATGTTATGTGTCACTACACTCTCTCTCCTCTCCCAGATTATCTAGTGTCCTGCCCTGGCATCTCTTTGCTCCATGCAACTTGGAAGGAACCACTTACTAGGGAGAATAGGGTGGCTTACTCTTTGCCTGTTCTAGCCTTTGTGCCCCCTATGGGCATGACGCCACTGATGGTTACTACCTTCAAATCACAGACAACATTAAGAGTTCAAAAGCAGATCTCTCATTTGATCTCATGATTTTCTATTCAGTAGACATAGTATATCGTAGCTTTACATACAATTGGACATACTTATGGATTTGGTACTGCGTGAAAACACAAGCCATGGAGTGGATGGCTGTAGGGGGAACTGCAGTGCGGCGTGGTCGGCTATATTGTCAGTCAGGGGACAGGGGTTGGACAGGGAAATGGACAGAGAGCACACCTGTGACGGGGGCCAGCATTTCCTGTAGGAAGTGGAGAGAGTGCCGGATGTTTGCGACATATGTTGTACTTCTCATCTTCCTCCCCAGGTCCGTGTGTGTATGTCAAGGCCAGTGGCCTGCTCTTGGCCAGCCCTGGGTCCTGGGCTGGGCCTCCCCCATTCCCTTAAACCCCCACCTCTCCCCTCATATCTCCCACGCACACTTACAGATCTCCTGTGACAATATTCAGCTTTCCCTTTTCCTCAATGTTATGACACCCGATGGAGCCATGCTGATACTGAGGCCGGGATTCAGTGCAAGGATTATGACCATGACTCTTTTGGCTCCAAGTTGTAACAGTAGTCTGGCAGTGTGTGTGCGTGTTAGGCTTGCACAATTCTGGTAACTTGAAGGATTCACGGAATGAAGAGGGAATAAGCAGGAAATCCGGAATCCTCCAAACAGGATTCCTAGCAAACCAGGGAATTTAAGGAAAGTTATTGTAATTTTGCAACCCTAGCGTGTGTGTGTAGCTGGTATGTTGTGCAGACCAGGGGAAGTATCTGAGGTGACTCACCTTCCCATGGCCATGAGGCACAGGGCAGGGCCAGGAAAGAGGGAAACACACTGGAGCCCTCCAGCCCATCTCCCATATCCCTGCACTGGTCCAGGATGGAGCCACTCTCTGCCCTCCAAGTACACATAAACAACACAGTCTGGATGGCTTGCCCCTGACTCTATAGAGGCACGATGGACCCTGACAGTCACAGCCCATTTAGTCATGGTAGGGGGAGGAGAGGTGGGACTGTGGGAAGAAAGGTGGATGCAGGCAGCCTGGATTATGGTTATCACATCCTGGTGTCCAACACAGCTGACAAATGTGGAAGTATCGGCCATGTGAACGCATGGGAAAGAGGAGAGTGTGATGCAACAAACAGGAAAACATAAATCATGGAATTGGTGATGCTTATGATTAACTTCATTTCAGTAACACAGGATTTATTCTGCAGATACTAATGTTGAGGGGACATGATCGAAAATATGCATTGTAAGAATTTCCCTAATAAAAGGAAACTACATGTATCATCTTTCCAGTCCTTTCAATAAGTATTCTGTTTGATTCATGTCTATTAGATACTGTAACCAAAGTATAGAGAAATGGAAAGAGACATTCACTTCACAAACTTCTTGTCCATGGTCCAGTCCAGAAGAAAGTGGAAAAACCACAACATGCCAACATTTCAGTTGCTGTATTCAAGGCTCTTGGCCTCCCCACTGCTCTCTACCTACAGTCATTACAACCAATCATGACCCACATCTCTGGCAGGGAAACCACGACAACAAAACTCCAACCACTAAAACATATATTCCATTCCTTCTCCACACAGTCTCTGAAAATAAAGACATGATATGAGGGAAAGAGGTTATAGTGGGGACATGGTACTACTCCATGTGGATTTACTAAAGAAGAGAGGCAGGGACACAAGCAAACAGCACAATAAACTTTGTAATACTGTAAATGAATGAGGTCTTTATTCTGTTTTCAAAGCAGAGCGTACTATGAGGAATGTTTTACCATCCAACTTCAGACCAAATAGAGAACAGTTATATAGAACAACAAACACTTGAACATGGCTACTAGCTTTCTGTAAGTCGGTTAATCACACACACACACACACACACACACACACAGACACACACACACAACTCTGAGAGACTGAGAGAGAGGAAAACACACACACTCACATAGAAACACACACTCATGGTCTTGTGGTTTACCAAGGAGACCTTTCATTGTTAGTCATTAAAAATACAACAGATCCATATTCCAGAACACCCCTCTCCATTTGCCCATGGTTCACACTCTCTCTATATCCATGACCCAGAAAGCAGACTGCACAAACAACACCAACACCCTCACATGTGATACATCCCATTAGCCATTAGATCAGAGAGTGCCACCACAACATCTGTCTGAGTATTCTGCACTAGCAGACAGGGAAGAATGTGTGGTCTTATTTACAAGGGGCTGTGTAATGGATTTAGTTGTGATGATGAACACAGAGCAGGCATCCAGTGTTCGTATTTAGTTATCATTGAACAGGTTTCGGGTTGTTTACATGTGAAGCGTAACTGTTGAACACAGGCGACATGCGATACAATCAGGAGCTGCAATCTGACTGAAAATACATCTCTTTAACGGGTGTGCGCAAAAAAAGTCATCCGACTTGTTTCCTTGTAGATTCATAACTCCCTGACATCTGGAAAAGGAGTGGCTCAGGACTCTTACTGTAATTAGTCAAAACAAAAGCAGGAACCAGAATGAGAAATGCTTGGCTCTGTCACCTTTATTGGTTGCAAGATCTACTCAAATTGATGACAACAGGATACATAGCCTACTATCAGCAGCAACAGATGAATACACAGCAGGAGAGAAGCAGAGCAAGTATCAGTCATATCAGCCAGGGAAAGAAACCTACCACTTGTGTACAGTGTGAGTGGAAGAAACTCTCTTAGATACTGTGCTGTATATTCTATCAACATATCAATTGCCTCTAAGAACTACTTTCAGATTAGTGTTCCCTCACTATGATCCCACTAATAACTATCACTGTATTACTGTAGCTACAAAATTAAACTTGCCCTGGACCTTTTCTACATGCAATCCTCATATATTTCTGACCTATTCCATCTTCTGTTTTCTGACTAATCAGGTACAAGAACACAGGGTATTTGGATTATGACTTCATATTATTGATGGTGGATAATATCCAGAAGCAGTCTCAACTACAACACTGGATATCATAGAATATAGAACCTAGAACAGTCTCTATGGTAGATATACACTGTGTGCAGATAGAATATTGAATGTCAGAGTATAGCAAGACTACAACTACAGTATTTTTTGTGCTATCTATTGAGAGAAGCGATATAAGATAATTGGATGCGAGTAGTGATTTGAAACCTTTTCTTTTTAATGCTCCAGTGAGCACAGATTATCAAGGGAATATTTGTATGTATTCTATGTCCCATTGGAAACGCCAGAACACGACACAAACATAATCTCCATTGTCAGTTCACCTCCTTGTCTATGGAAAGATTGAAGTCTATTTCTCTCAACAGTCATTAGAATTACATAAGTATGCTAAATAATAGGTTAAATAGGTATTAACATACAGACGTTTGACAAGGATACTAGTTACTAGAAGGCAATTTCAAACACTATACATTTAATGGTCTACCAACTCTCAGATTTCCGACATGACAGCTATACAGTTGTAACAGTCTCTTGGTCAGGCTATGAAGGGCCTGCATGTGTTAGGATGCTGCCTTTTCACAAGAAGAAAATATCATATGTCTACACAACCTACTTATGAAAGGATTCCTGTCACTACATTTGACCGTTATTGTATTTTAAAGTGATAACTACAAGGATTATTAAGATTTAGTATTAATATTAGTTGATCCTTTTTTGAAACATCCCCATTAAATGGGGAGATATGAAGTAGACTACAAATCAGGCTCAACTAAAATGTAAATTAAATACACATTTATGCTAGAGAGAAACAGACAGTGTTCATGTATCCAATGATAATGCAGGTTATTGTGTCACAGATAGCACACTCTCAGTGGTGTATAACAATAGGGCATGTGGGTGGTGCAGCGCGAGTCCAATATCAATTCCCTCAACTCTGAACTCTGAACCATGACCTTTACCCCCTTCAACCTAGTTCAATAAAAAAAATAAACAAAAAAATCATACATCGATCAGAAGAGCAAGCCAATACTTTCAATACATTTTTGCTCCCACTAAGCGTGACCACAAAGTTTCTGCTTTGTTTCATGTTGAAGCGTGGTTGTCCAACCCCAACACCCCCCACACCCCCCATAGATCCTTCACTGTCCATCCTCTTACCCGCTCCCTCTCTTGTTCAGTGCCCTTGGGAGGTGAGTATGCGGGGGGGGGGGTCTACTCAGCAGGGATTTTCCTCTTGGAGGGGGGGATGAGATGACCGGGGAGGTCGGCGGGCAGCTCGTGCCCCTCCAGTTTGACTTTGATCAGGTGATTGGCCAGGGCAAACTCCTCATCATCCAGCATCCCGTCCTTATCGATGTCAGCCAGCTTCCAGATCTTCCCCAGCACCGTGTTGGGAAGCTTGGACTTCAACATCTCTTTCTTGGCATTGGCGCCAGTCACCTTCCCATTGACCGGCGACAGCGTGTAAAAGATCTCGTCGTACATGGGCTTGTCACGGGCCACCACCCACTCTGCCTCATCGATACCCTCCCCGGCGCCCTCGCCGTAGCCGTGGCCGAAGGGCCCATTGAGGGTGCCGTCGAAGGCCCCTCCCTTCACCACCTTCTGGGGTCGGTTGGTCTCCTCCTGCCTGACCAGAACCATGAGACCGGCGATGTCGTGGGCCAGCATGTCGTCCACCGAGTCCAGCAGTTTTATCTTCAGGGGCTGGAACTTGTTCAGGTCGTGGGCATTCAGTTGCTCCTATAAGAGGGGAGAGAGGGCAGAGGTAAGAGGTCAAAAGAGCTGTGTCTTACTCACTACAAACATAGTTTGGGTTCAGGATCAGGGTCAAGCTGATCTTAGTTGATACATCTCTACAGTCTCTTATGTGTGAGAGGGAGTCAGAACAAGATACATGACTGTCCTGGTCTGTGAATCAGAGATATGTCAGAAAGGATCAACATGACTACTGTTTATTTTCTACCCTGAGAAAAGTCATGTTGGTGCTTCTCTCAGTAAGGAGTTCATCAGGCCCAGATGGACTGGGGGTGGTTCAGATCTAATTGCTGATCACAACCAATCAGAAAGGAGCTTGTTTTGTCACCATGGCTCAAAGCAGTCCCAGTAGGGCAGTTTGTGTGTTAGCTCAGTAATCACAGGATTTTGTCTTTGCTTGAAAACAGCACAGATTGTGGGCTTTATCCATCAGGCTCTCTTGGTAAACATTGCAATGTGAGTCATGTTCGTAGTCATTTTATATTTCAAGGTTTTTAGGTATTTATGGTATGATGTCGTCTGTCCAGCCCATATGATATATTTTACACCTACCCTTAGCTTTACTCAAGAGAAGCCCCGTCTTTCTATCTTACCTGCATCTTCTTGAGGTTGGGGAAGTCTCCAGGGGAGATCTGGTGTTCTCTCTCAATGCGGCTGTAGATCTCTCCCAGACTGTTAATCAGCTCTTTCTTCTTGCCCTCCTTCCCAAACACACTGGGCATCTCCTTTTTCAGAGAGCTGATGATATAGGCATGGACCTAACGGGGCACAGAGCAGAACACAGCAGGACTGTCTGTTAAGACTGAGTGAGGCAGAGAAAAATCACTCATATATGCTTCCTCAAATACTGGATTGGGACCCATAAAGGGGTTGTAGCCAGCTCCTCTTGGGTCATAGCTAGAAATATTGTTTTGTTTATGTGTCTATTGTGCCACTAAGGACTCTTTAAGTTCCTCCAAATATCTCAGATGTCCTTGAAACTCAAAATAAATGACAGGAAGGAGGCACTTAAAGCAGTTTTATGAGAGAGCATGTGGCAGGTATCACATCCGGCTACACAAGAGGTTCCCCTTCCTTGGAGTTTCCTAGATCTGAGAGAGAAGGGGAACATAATGTCATCACACGAGGGGTGGCACTACATGAGTCACCAGCTCCTTCAGTGGAACCTCTGTATCCTCTGCCTCGGTTTCCCTTTGGCGGATGGATGAGCACACTGCTGCTGACAGCAGAGGAAGCCCACCTCTCTGGTCTGGTCAGGACAGGGGCATAGGACAGGACATGGACCAGGTTCCATGGACCAGGAATAGGGGGACAGGGGACAGGAGGAGGCCGGAGGTGGGTTACCATCTTCTCTCAAGGTGACCACCTGTTTGGGGGTGATTCCTTGGACTGTGGCCAGGGATGCCCCCAAAACACACACACAGGCACACACACAAACACAGACCCTCTGCAGGACTTCCTGCTGTGGCTGTGTGATCTCCAGAACAGCCATATGAAGGGTTGAGATGAGGTGGTGCCTGTATTGTATGACAACAGAGGACCTGGTCCTCAGTCACATAGACTGGTATGAGGCTAATAGGAGAGGAAGCCCAGAGTTAAGCCACTGTAATGGCTATGACATAATAACCTGCTGAGCTCAGGTGGCATGTCATGTCAATGCTACCCAGCCTCAGAACTGCTACCCAGCACCCCCCCCCCCTCTCTCTCTCTCTCTCTCTCTCTTTCTCTCTCTCTTTCTCTCTCTCAATTACAACAGAAAGATCTCTCCTCTGTCTCACTGCTCTCTGATGACTATCTAATTAAGTTCCATTCCACACTAACTGGACAAGAAGCTGATATTTCTGTTTTAATATGAACAAGGGCAAATCAGATGTCCTTGGGGCCCACTGTGTGATTCTGAAACGTGAGCCACATCAGAAGAGAGCAGGAAAAGTGCCCTGGGAATGGAAATCAGAGCTTACGTCTTGTCGTTACTGGAACAAACACTGCTGATGCTCTCTCAAGGTCTTTCTGCAGATCATTCAATATCTCCCCACCTCCCTGTTTGGCTCTCCTATTCGATCACCCCATCCCTCCATCCCTTCATCCATCTCTCCATTCATCCAGCCCTCCCCCAGCCACAGACCAGGCCCTCACAGACAGACACTAACACATCTGGATCCAGTTGGAACCACATGGTAAGACCAAGTTCATCCCAGGAATTCCGACAAACTCATCAATTAAACACTCCCCACTGTTCCTGATCACACACACACTATCATTTAGCTATGGGCTGATAAGATTGTACTGCAAATCAAATTTGCCTGAGACGTCACAGTAACTGGTTACAAATGCTACTTTGTCACCTCATTAGAACTGTTGCCTAACAGTATTTGTCGACCAGTAAAAAAAAGAACAAAAGAAAGAGAATTGTTTCCAAACTGCCTGATGCAAGTTATAAATAACATTCCTTTGTCCTGGAAAAAAATCGCATTCGAAAAACTTTAAGAGAAATCCGAGGTCAATCTGAGGTCAAGATTTGTCCCATGACTAACTCCATCTACCATACCTTGTTTACATCCAATTGCAATCAATGCTCTATGCCAAGTGAACAGTAGTGACCTGTGACTGATAATTGATTTGGTGTGACTTTGTGTTTTCTTAGTGCCACCAATGCGTTATGACTCTATTAAAGTGTAGCTCAGCTGGGAAGGCACCCTGGTACAGCCACTGTACCAGCCCTCATCTCACCACGCAGTCACACAATGTTGCCCTGGGGAGAGGGATTGCAGCTTCGCTCAGTAGGGGAAGGATATCTTACCCTAACAAAGTGGATGTAATTGCAGTCATTACTCTTGCATTGTGAGTCACTGTATTATAGTTCCTGGTCACAGGATGGGTAGCTTATTAAGTTCAGTAGCAACTCCTGTATGGAGATTCTGTTCCATTCAAAAGACCTCTTTAACAAATACTTTTCTTCTCTTTCAAAAAATGACTTAATAATTTTTAAAAAATAATATGCCATTTAGCAGACGCTTTTATCCAAAGCGACTTACAGTCGTGCGTGCATACATTTTTGTGTATGGGTGGTCCCGGGGATCGAACCCACTACCTTGGCGTTACAAGCGCCGTGCTCTACCAGCTGAGCTACAATACTTAATACTTAATAAAAGAGAACTTCCTACTCAGGCCAAAATGACATAACATAGTGCTTAGGAGTAATATCCACTCTTACTTTTGTGAGAGAATGTGTGTGTGCAAGCGTGTGTCCGTCCATGCATGTGTTTGGTTAGAGCTTACCTTGGCGAGGCGTGCTCTCTTGATGAGGTCATTAAGCTTCCTGAGGGCAGCGTTGCGGGGTAGGGACTGGATGTCCTTGAACAGGTCCTGCTCCTCCGCCTCAAACAGCTTACGGTTGTCGGGGATGAGCAGCGGGTGCGACCAGAATGACCCGATATAGACACGGATCACCTCGGGTGTGTTGACGATCTTCCCTAGCGACCACATGAGGGCGCCATAGACCCTCATCAGCTGCTGCGTCTCAATCTGGTCTGCCTTGTTTAGAACCACCCGGATCTTGTCTTCGTGATTCTTCAGGGCCTTGATGACCTCCGAGAACTCGTCTGAGATGTCCAGCTTGTGGGCGTCGAAGAGGAGGATGATTCGGTCCACGCGCTCTGCAAACCACTCCAACACGGCGGCAAAGTCGTAGCCTTTAGACACGAAGGGGGGTGAGGGGAGGCAGGGGTGGGAGGGGTGGGAGGAAGGCAGGGTCAACAACCAGCAGAACATCTATGCCTCTTCAACAGACTGTTGGAAGACCAGGGCGGCCCAGTGGTGTCCAGCTAAGTAACCAGAAGACTGTTGTGAACTTGGTAGGCCTATTGCTCAAGAGGACAAACAGTATGACACGTCATCAATTCCAAAAGAGAACAGTTAAAACCACTTGTTAAGATAGAGGCTGAAAAGCATTTGAACACAATATGGTAATGGTTGATCATTTGGTATCTTACCACTTATCAGTGAGAACATAACATGATTACATTATTTATTTAAACCAGTGCTAATCTATCTTGACCTCACTTCCTGCTCATGATTTGCACTTAGTTCTCACTACTTGACATGACAGGACATGACAGGACAGGATACGACTGTGCTTCATGACCCTCTTCTCCTCTCCTCTCAGCATTAGCCTCCTGTCCTTAAGGGGCTGCAGCGCTAGCCTCCCCTAACCTACCCTCGGCCCCGCTGGCTGGATAACAGGCTTTACACCACAGGAGGCTGCTGAGGGGAGGACGGCTCATAATAATGGCTGGAACTGAGCTAATGGAATGGCATAAAACACCTGGAAACCATGTGTTTGATGTATTTGATAACATTCTATTAATTCCACTCCAACCATTACCACGCTCCAACCATTACCACACTCCAACCATTACCACGAGCCCTTCCTCCACAACTAAGGTGCCACCAACCTCCTGTGCTTTACACTAAGGGGTGACTGAACCACTTTACTCTCCTCATGCCATCAGCAGATAGATAGAGTGAAAGAGTTAGAGAGAGAGTTAGAGAGAGAGAGAGAGAGAGAGAGAGAGAGAGAGAGAGAGAGAGAGAGAGAGAGAGAGAGAGAGAGAGAGAGAGAGTGTTTCAGCACGGATAAAGATAATCCCCCAAACGATTGCTAATCTAATGGATCAATTAGCTGTCTAATCTGAAGGCAGTGATCCGAGAAGCCTAGAGACAAAGAGAGCTGTCGGGGGAAAACAGATTTCAGCCGCAGAGAAATTAAAATGTACTCTACTCTCCAGCTAGCAGCATGTTTTCAGATGATGAGTAGTCCATTCCCAAAGCATGTATTCCTAGTAGAGAAGAAAGCTAAATCTCCCACTGACAAGATGTCAGTGGTAGACGTCAAGAAGTATGACAGCTTATTTGAATGCCATTGAAATGACAGAAGAGATTCCATTGGATGGTGAGGGTGTTTCACTGTGTTAATTGGAGGCAGACCTGCAATCAGTCAGCCAGGCAGCTAGAGAGAGTCAACATTGGGCATCACACTCTCTCTCTGCTTCATTCCTAACTGTCGGTGAATCAAGTGTGGAAATCACATAATACAAACTACCAATAAACTATTCAAAGAGCTTGGCAACCAGAAATTATTGTGTGTGCTGTGCACGTAACATAAAATAAAAATGGGTCTGGGAACTACACAGAACATATGTGATATAGCAATATGAGGAGAATAAATGGACATACAGGTTATGGGTACATTGAGGCAAATAAAGCATATGTGTAGAACACACATGTACAATTGAGTTGAATGAAGAGAAACAATTGAAAGGACTATGAAATACACTGAACAAAAATATAAACACAACATGCAACAATTTCAAAGATTTTACAGTTACAGTTCATATAAGGAAATCAGTCAATTGAAATACATTAATTGGGCCCTAATCTATGGATTCACATGACTGGGAATACAGATATGCATCTGTTGGTCACAGATACCTTTAAAAAAGGTAGGGGCGTGGATCAGAAAACCAGTCACTATCTGGTGTGACCACCATTTGCCTCATGCAGCGCAACACATCTCCTGTGCATAGAGTTGATCAGGCTGTTGATTGTGACTTGTGGAATGTTGTCCCACTCCTCTTCAACAGCTGTGCAAAGAACTGGGACTTTTTCAGCTTCCAGGAATTGTGTACAGATCCTTGCAACATGGGGCCTTGCATTATCATGCTGAAACTTGAGGTGAGGGCGGCAGATGAATGGCATGACAATGGGCCTCAGGATCTCATCACGGTATCTCTGTGCATTCAAAATGCCATCGATAAAATGCAATTGTGTTTGTTGTCCATAGCTTATGCCTGCCAATACCATAACCCCACCGCCACCATGGGGCACTCTGTTCACAACGTTGATATCAGCAAACCGCTTGCCCACACAACGCTGTCTGCCATCTGCCCAGTACAGTTGAAACTGAGATTCATCCGTGAAGGGCACACTTCTCCAGTGTGCCAGTGGCCATCGAAGGTGAGCATTTGCCCACTGAAGTCGGTTATGACACTGAACTGCAGTCAGGTCAAGACCCTGGTGAGGACGATGAGAACGCAGATGAGCTTCCCTGAGCCTGTTTCTGACAGTTTGTGCAGAAATCCTTCGGTTGTGCAAACCCACAGTTTCATCAGCTGTCCGGATGGCTGGTCTCAGACGATCCTGCATGTGAAGAAGCCAGATGTGGAGGTCCTGTGCTGGCGTGGTTACAGGTGGTCTGCGGTTGTGAGGCCGGTTGGGCATACTGCTAAATTCTCTAAAACAAATGTTGGAGGCGGCTTATGGTAGAGAATTTAACATTAAATTGCCTGCCAACAGCTCTGTGGACATTCCTGCAGTAAGCATGCCAATTGCACCCTCCCTCAAAACATGACACATTTGTGGAATTGTGTTGTGTGACAAAACTGCACATTTTAGAGTGGCCTTTTATTGTCCCCAGCACAAGGTGCACCTGTGTAATGATCATGCTGTTTAATCAGCTTCTTGACATGTCACATCTGTCAGGTGGATGAATTATCTTGGCAAATGAGAAATGCTCACTAACAGGGATATAAACAAATTTGTGCACAACATTTGAGAGAAATAAGCTTTTTCAGCTCATGTACATGGGACCAACACTTCACATGTTGCCCTTATATTTTTGTTCAGTGTAGAAAAAATACTAAGATAACCACCCATTTCAGGTCGATTTTTTGTGCATAGACACATCATAGACACAACAACACAACCTCCAACTGTGTTTTTGCTGAGATACTGAATATTTCAATATCGAGACACATAGGCCTACCATCTATCAAGTGAAACACCTGTCTCCTGAAGCACCTAACAGCTCTTCTTCAACCTTTCTCCATCTCCAAGGGTGCTAGGCAGAGCTCCTCCTTACCTTGAAGCACTTACAGCTGAGCGAAGGGGAAGAGTTCCACAGAATTCCCAAAATTGAAGACTGTACCAGAAATTTGGATTAGTGTGTTAATGTCGTTCAAATCAGAGGCATGAAATATGGCAGCCAGGGCCATGTTTCCAGGGAAGGATGTTATCCCATGCCGACACAGGGGATAGAGACGCATAGGCCTCATCCCTGATGATTTGGCAGTTTCACTATGGAGTCTTATTGTTACCTGCGGTAGGGATGGACAGTATATCTCTCTCACCTTTTCTTATGAGGTGGTGGTATTTATTACCGATTTATTACTTCATAAGCCTGCTCTAGTGTTTCTCAAGGGTTCTGAAGTTTATTGACTAGTGTTACCCTAAAGATATTGTGGATCAACATTTACTGTAAGGGCTTAACAGGAACTAAACACTACATCTCAATGCTCCTTCGCCTCAGCAGGGACTTTGATACATATAGGCAGCCGTACAGTAGGTAAGAGACCATACATGAATCATGGGCAGGACAATAAGAGCAGTGAAACTGTTTAGAGGACCGTGGTATTATGGCAGGGATTATAAAACGATGGGGCACAATAGAGGTTAATGTCAGGAGACCCAGTTATTTCATGTCAGGTCTGGCTTGATGCAGCACTGCAGAAACTCCATAGGATTTATACTGTAGTAGTATAGGCAAGCTGCATTGGTTAACACTGTGCTTTCACTACAATACCTCCATATGGGCATTTACGATACTCGCTATAGCCGGGTCCATGTTCATTCGCAGCTGTACATGGGGAGAGAGAGACACAAACAGAGGTGAAAATGAAATGAAGGAAAAGAAACGGGGGGTTCAGTGCTTCAAGTGAACATGGAGATGTGTGGGTGAATGTTGTACATTGTGATAAACATAATACAGTCTAGTAATGTACCTATCCAGTACTGAAACACAGTTAGGGTACTGATAGAATAGAAAGCAACATGTTTAAAGACCCAGTGCAGTCAGAAACAAGATTTTCCTGTCTTTTATATACATTTCCAAACTATGAGGTTGGAATAATACTGTGAAATTGTGAAATTGATGATAATGTCCTTTTAGTGTAAGAGCTGTTTGAAAAGACTGCCTGAAATGTCTGCCTATTTTGGTGGGATGGAGTTTTGACCTGCCTGGTGACATCACCAGGTGGTAAATTAGATAATAGACCAATAAGAAATAGAGTTCCAAACCTCTTTGCCAATAACATCTAGTTTTCAGTTACCCCCTCCCCACTCAGACCACTCCCAGACAGTCCTAGCTAAATCTTTGCTAAGAAGCAATTTCTCTTCATTTTTGACCATTTTGATTGAAAACAATCACAGTAAGGTACTTCATTTTTTACCCAGAAATGATTTAATATTGAGATAAAAACAGCTGCATTGGACCTTTAAGAAAATATGTAAAAACATGACAGACATTATAAGAGCACACATTCCCTCTCTATTCTGCCAGTAGACAGCTCCTGGTATAACTTCCATTTACTAACCCTTTGTGTTTTGACAAGTTAAGATGACACTAAAGGAATAAAGACTGCCACCATATCTCCTGTGGGGAGAGGAGCGGAACGAGACAGAGAAGGCAAATAAATGCATACTCGTGCCATTCACACTATGAGGCAGGCATTAGACAGAGAGAGTCAAAGACCAGCCTAGTGTCATAGACTAGACGTAACATAGTAAAAGGTAAATCCGGGACACTCAAATTAGAATGATATGTTACGTTTGGTATGGTTAGATAAGACAAGGTTACTTAAGGCAAAAACTAAAGTAGGGTGGTTGGTCGGGGTGGATGGGTGAGTGTACAACGCGAACGTCTAGCAACCCAAAGG